CACCCCTGAGCCTCCTCTTCTCCACACTAAACAACCCCAGCTCCCTCAGCCTCTCCTCACAGCACTTGTGCTCCAGGCCCTTCCCCAGCCTGCTTGCTCTTCTCTGCACCTGCTCCAGCCCCTCCATGTCCTTCCTGAGCTGAGGGGCCCAGAACTGAACACAACACTCAAGGTGTGGCCTCACCAGTGTTGATTCCAGGGGAAGGATCACTGTCCTGCTCCTGCTGCCACCCTGTTCTTGATGCAGGCCAGGATCCATTGGCCTTCTTGGCCCCCTGGGCACACTCTGGCTCATGTTCAGCCTCCTGTCAATCAGCACCCCCAGATCCCTTCCTGCCTGGCTGCTCTCCAGCCACTCTGTCCCAGCCTGGAGCTCTGCAGAGGTTGTTGTGGCCAAAGGGCAGGACCCGGCACTTGGCCTGGTTGAACCTCATCCCATTGCAATCAGCCCATGGATCCAGCCTGTCCAGGTCCCTCTGCAGAGCCCTCCTGCCTTCCAGTTGATCGACACGCCCCCTCAGCTTAGTGTCATCTGCAAATTTACTAATGGCAGAGGAGGAACAGAGGGGGAACAGACGGGAAATAGAGGGGGAATTGAGAGGGAATAGAGAGGGAACGGAGGGGGATTTGGGTTGGGCAGTGGGGAAAGGACAGAGCAGGCAGGAAGGGAGGAAGGAGGGTGGGCCGGGGGGATAGGAACGAGTGAGTTACAGGGGGTCAGTGTGCGTAATGGGGCAAGGCAAGGGGAGGGGGAGGCCGGGTGAGGGAAAGGAGGAGAATATGGGGGCTTTGATGTGGCTTTCTGTGACTTCCAGTCCAGGGTTGCCATTTTTAGTATGGCCTCAGATGATGTCCAGTCATGGCAGCACCATCTTTAGGGTGGACTTGGAAGACTTCCAGCCCGGGGCTGTCATCTTTTTGGGCGGCATTGGAGGACTTCTGGCCAGAGGGATGCCATCTTCTTGCAGGGAAATGCAGTACAGGGGGATAATTCTGCCACTGAATGACAAAGAACTTCTCCCTCAGACCACCGAAAAGACCCTCCAAAAGCCAAACTGCAGCGTGTCAGGATGGGGCTTGGAGCAACCTGGGCTAGTGGAAGGTGTCACCACCCGTGGCAGGGGGTGGAACAAGGTGATCTTTAAGGTCCCTTCCCACCCAAACCCTTCCCGGAGTATGTAATTCTACTCAGGAAAGGGAAGACAGCAAAGAATTTTAAGCAGAGTTCTGCAGTGAGACAGCGGCAATTCCAAACTCCTGTTTCCTTCCAGAAAGGCCCTTTGGGAGCCTGGAGTGAAAGATAAGGGCAATAGACCAAGGAATCTGCTTCTGCCTCTGTCTCATCCTGGCTGCTGCTGCAGTGGCCAGGTGAGTCTGTGACCGTCACTCACCTCCATGCTGAGCCCCATCCTTAGCCCACCCAACACCATTCCCACTGCAGCCACCTGGATCCCATCCAGAGCCATCTCCTGTCCCTCGGCAGTCCTGCTGCAAGGACACGAGAAGCAGCGTTTCAGGGTGGCCCCTGAAATGCCTCTGGCACTGACGCCCACTTCTCAAAGAGCCCAGAAGGAGGGGAAGCCAGGTAAAAAAGGGAATTGGGTGAACAACCAGCAGGATTTGATCGTGGAGGATCTGGAAGAGCCCTGTGACGATGAGATCAAGTGAAACACTGTGACCCAGCAGAATGATTCAGGCCTGGCAGAGCTTATTTCTTATGAGCGAACCTCGTGCTCTGTGAGCCGAGCTGACAAAAATGCCAGGGGGGTGCTGCTTTGAAGGAGAGAGCGAGAAGCCCCAAAACAGACAAGCGATGACCAGCATCACACATGAAAATGCTGCAAAGAATTAACATACAAAATAGTTTATTTTCCACTCCAAGAGATCTTTCAGAATTACCAGAAACATGCTTTAAAACAGAAGACTGCCAGGTAAAGCATATATCCACCCCTCAAAAAGAGATGGAGACTTCTTCAGACAAAATGTGTTTCCTGATAAACACTGCTGAAGGTGAAAGTCCATTTAGATTTAATGCTACCCACATTTGGGTTTGCAGTTCAGTAAAAACTTTCTCTCCCACAGAAACTCCTCCCAGTAAAGAGCAGCTTTGCCTTAACAAGGACTTGAGGACTTTGCCTCATTAAAATATACCATGTACTGTTTCACTGTGCACAATACTGGGAAACCAGCTGAAACTCTAGTAGGCACCTTCCATCTCTCCTAAAAACCAGAGACAAGCAGTGCCTGAGGACACCCCAAGAATGTGAGCTACCGATTCCTGGCAGCAGAGACCTTCCTGCATTTGTATATGAAAGCCTCTGTCTTCCCAAGACTAACCCCATAGACACCATCTGGCACCAGAGACCCAAAACGCATCTGTCTGCTGCTGCAAAAGGATTCTCCACCACCACTCGCCACAGCGGAAGGATTCCCATCAACACTCGGGGCTTTGGCAGTGGCTGTTTCACCGGTGCCATCAGCAATGGCCTCAGGAGAGTCACTTCCAGCACACGTGGTCAAGCTGTCCATGCACTTGCGGAGATCTTGGCTCAGCAGCAATACCATGGTCCCTCCAACACGGATCACTCTGGCAATTGCGAGAAAGGCAGAAGTTAGGTGTTCATCCTACCTGGCATTCCTTTGCCTGTGTAGAACTCCACACTGCTGACACTTCAGGTGCCATCTGCACTCAATAAAACACCCGAGTGTCGTGATTCAACCCAGGAAGCTACACCTCCAAATGGAATTTAAATTCCCTATCTTCACGCCTCTTCTTAATGGGAGAAAACAGGGTGAAACGGGAGAAATGCCACCATTGTTGCATTTACACCAAACCCTAAGCATATCAAAGCCACACACATACCTTTCCATTTCCTGGAGAATATCTGGTAGAAGCTGGGCATCATTCCTAATCTTGAACTTCTTCCCAAATGGAATATCCGAAATCACAGCGTCAAAGCTTTCTGAAGGCAATGGCAGTGCTGCAGAACAAAGGCAGGTCTTTACCTCTGACTGTCTGAAAAATGCAAAGCAGCTACGACCCCCTTCCCCTCAGAACACTTTGTTTGCCGGCTCTTATTGTGGGTTATGCACCCAGACTCACTGCTCCTTCTGCACTTGCCCTCACAAACAGCACTACCAGTCTGCAGACTGGGAAGAGACAAAAGCATGACAGCGTGGTTTAGTTTGCACATTCCCTCTCACTGGCGATATGTTTGTCCCAACAGCAAGACTCTTTGAATAGGGCACTGCCTTGTTCCAAACTAACTGCTGCTTCTCAACACACAGTACATTGTAACTGTGAAAATAATTCAGTAAAATACAAAGGAAGCTTGTGAGCTTCTTCACTTAGCAGAGATGTTCCAATGCACACATATGAATGGCAAGGAACCACATTAAATTCCTCTTCAATCCCCTTTTGGCCCCCCAAGAATCTGCTTACAGCCCAGCACCACTTGGCATTCTGCCAGAGCTAGTGTCTTTGGAGTCTTCCCAGGGTTTCTGCATCCCAGGAACAGTCAGTTCTCCTGACCACGATGAAGCACCACCAACCTGTGGTGATAACGATCAGCCACATACCAGGCTGTGCTGGCCAGAGCGTAGCCAGCATGTGAGAGTAGAAAACTACGGGTCCTCCATCCATCAGGGTGCTCAAAACTGATGGGACAAGGCCCTGAGCAATCTGACACAGCTTCAGAGTTAGCCCCAGTCTCAGAAGACAACAGGACCAAAGACCTCCAACAGTCCCTTCTCGCCTAAACCCTGCTGTGATTCTATGTCAACTTTTCCAGAACTAGCTGGAGATGTTTCCTGGACCGTCCTTCTAATCAACACTTGCAGCACAACAATTTTTATAACAATTTTATCTGCAAAAACAGAAGGACAAGTCACCCACAGCCCTCCTCAAGATGAGGAGAAATAACAGCTTTTAACGAGTAACAAAGACACCGATTACTTGTTCAATGTCGGAAAACCTGACACCTAAGTACTTTCCATTATCCTAGAAGCCAAACTCAAACACAGCTTTTAAGAAATAAACCTGTATTCATATAAAAATAAATAATATTTCTTATCTTCTTACCTTTGGGTAAGAAATACTGCAAGGAAAAAAAAAATGCATATTTGATCACCCATGCACAGGGATTGCCTGTCATGAATTTCATACAGGGATAATTTAGCCTCAGATTTGATGTCCATAATATGGTCAAAGAACTATTCCCTTCTCTACAGACCAGGGTGTGGATTGAGAGCAGACTCCCTCTTACAGGAGAAAAGGCATCATCATGCTGACTTCATTCTTACCAAAGTTCCCAGGAGCAGGCAGCAAGGTAGGGAGAACAAATAATTATCCTTTCACTAGCACTAGAGAGTCACTGCTCAGCTATTCGCTGGGAGTTGGCTCTACAGCATATCACCTCAAGAGGACCTAATTACCTGTATAATCCCAGAACCACAAAAAATTTCTCTTTGAAACCCCATAGGCATACCTTTCACTGAAGCTTTAAGCAACTCAATCTTATTCATTAAGCCTGCAGTTCTAATATTCACATCTGCACCCTCTAACTGTGAATCACTTATATCAGCACCCCAGTAACAGGCTTCCTGTTCAGAGAGAGAGAGAAAAGTAAATTTTGTTAACACTCAGGTTATTTATTTTATAAACCATTCTCAGAACTGCCTTGCTGCACAGCTCTTGCAAGACAATCCCCTTGTGTACCATTACACAGAGCAACTCCCAACCTGGGAGGAATAGGATAAGTACGTGCTGCCTTCACTCCTTCGATGTTCTGGTCTGCTCAAGACACTTGTAACTTACAGAAATATCAAGGGTATGTCCTAACAGCAAGAGCCCAGGTGGCTACAGCCAGCTACGCTGCCTCTAATGCTGACAACTAACTGTACAGCCCCACTGACTCCTCCAATCCTGCGAGAAGCCCAGGCAGCGTTAGAAAACCATGGCTGCCTCACACAAACCCCGCAGTGTGAACCCAGGGCTCACCAGTCTGTAGGACGTGGTTTCACATTCCTGTACAGGAATGTCTGTACTAACACCCTTTCAGCAGCTGCCCAGAAAGATCAGTTTGGCTTCACCTTTCCAGCGACGGACTCTGGCATAACCGACACAGAGAAAACTCTGTACCGTAACTACCAGCTGTCCTGCAAAGGCCCAGTCAGCTGCAGGCAGGATACTTACAGGCCACTCTCTGGCAGCCTCCAGCAGTATCGTTCCCAGCCCACACATGGGATCCAGCACAAAGGCACCAGCCTACAAAAACAAAGGGGTTATTGCATCCCAAGCAAGACAGACTCCTCCCTCAGGACAAAGGTTACTCAGGGATGTATATATTCCCACTGAATCCAGCACAGGTAATAATAATCGC